CATTCACATTTACAATTTTATTATTAGTAGGAAGTAGGATAGAACTCAGACCGATTTATTTTATCCATAGTTAAATTACACTGTAGTTTACAAATAATACATTTACTATGAATTTCACCAAATTCATAGTCAAATTGAACCAAGGATAAAAAAAAAAAACACAAACCAATCTTTAGGAAGGGTACTATTGGACTTTGCTGACAACTTTCAGATAAGACAACAGATACATATTGTGCTTTCACAACATACTAAAAAAAGCAAAGTCAATTCCTACTGAAGCCAAGCCGTTGAGTCTGGCGAAATCTACAAAAGTGCACCGCCATTTTCCAAAAAGAAGAAGAAGAAAAGGTACTGTGAGTTACTTACACTATAATCATTATAATTTACGTTGCAATCCTAAAATAAGAAAAGATCTTGCGTTCAAGGTCAACAATTTCGCTCTCATTTCTGACCCGTTCAAGATCGAACGAACAAAATGATAACGTACTATTTGAAGAGTATACGTTTAACTTTATATATCATGTGAATGCTTATGTGAATCCCGAACATAACCAGCGTATTATAATAAAAACAAAACCAAGACAATTCTTATTCTTAAGATTGCCGCTTCACGCATGCGTGAAATTATAGCCACGCCTACATCTGAAAGAGATAACAGGCGATTTCATAATTCACACCACTTAATACTTCAGTTTCAGATTTTGGTGAGAAACGTTAGCGCCGTTGTAAAATTGTTTTATTGACAGTACTTTCTCATTACACATAGGGTTACCATTTAGGAATTTCAAAAGACCTGACAAAAATCTTGTCATTTCTAAAAAAGTCCGGACATTTCAGTCACAAAATGGTACCATTACTCAATTAGTTACAATAGTATGATATTTAAAACAATGTGTATTTTTATTGTTCATATTCAATGTGATTTAAAAAATCCGGACAAAGTCCGGACTATTGTCTAAAAGTCCGGACGTGTCCAGTCTCTCAAGTTGGCTCAAACTGCACACGGTGTGTAAATTGATTAAAATCGATGAAGTAGTTTAGGAGTCCATCCCTGACAAACAACGTGACGTGTAATTTATATACATATATGAAAATTTATAAGCAACTTTGGAATTTTTAGTTCAGGAAAATGTTTAAACTTAATAAAGCTATTTTGTTTTTCTAAGAATGTAAAATTTGCTGATCTATAGACTGGATATTGATAGATCTGAGTTCCATTTACAGCATGCATTGGCATGGCACCGACATCAATTATTAATGTACTTTAGTTAAAAGTAAAGAACAAGTATTATCTCTTTATTTTAACTGGTTTTGTTTTACTGAAGTAGTTTTTTAGTTTTTTTAAAAAAGTTTTTATTTTTTATATATTTGTTGAAGAACCGATAACCGTTGGGGTAGACGAGTTCTGGAGTGGAGACCGCGTCTAGGCAGACGTATTATAGGACGTCCTCAGGCTCGATGGAGTGACGATTTGCGCAAGGTGGCTGGCAGGAGCTGGATGCGAGTAGCCCAAGATCGATCTGAGTGCAATTGGAGAGGCCTATGTCCAGAAGTGGACTAAGATAGGCTGTTGATGATGATGATCATGTAATTTCCATTTGGTTCTTAGTCCTCGTTGCCACCAAAAAACAAGTCATATACCAGTTTAAATAAAACTTGTAGAATACTTGTTGTGGCTGTTTAAAACATTATTTTGTTTATACTGCTTAGACAACTAGAATCTTACAAGTATAAATTACTTATTTACTTAACATCATGTTTATTCAACAAATTTGATGCAAGTATGTATACTGCATGTATTATACTTTGGTGTAAACCAGGGTATTACATGTTAAAGAAACTTTATACATGTTTTTCTATTCACTGAGACCTCACTCGGCTGTTGCTTTAACAGCCATAATAAGAGTTCCGCACAAACTTGTAGATTATGTAAAAAGTTAGTTTATTACAGAGAGGCTAGCGAGCTTACACTCGCTTACTCAAAAATATGCCCCAAAGTAAGCACTGTGAGGCTATAGGATACTAGGAAAACGGATAGAATACATAAACTGTACATATATAAGTATATTTATATAGAAATACATATTAAACATCCATAACTGTAGTACAAATGCTCGTATTCATCACACAAACATCTGGCCCCACCGGGATTCGAACCCTCTCGAGTCGGCGACACCATGAAACCCGGCGTACAAACCACTCATACACGGAGGTCGTCAAATAGGCAACACACTGTAAAAATCACGTGTAATTACTTTTTGCACTATTGCCTTTTATGGATTACATGGCCGGCAGGACATGGCCCACTGACAGAATTCAATAATTGTTTTAATGATTTTTTTATGTTAAAAAGGTGGCAAACAAGTGTATAGTTCGCCTAATGGTAAGCGGCCACCATTGCTTATAGACGCTTGCGGTCAGACCCGTCTTTCCCCGTGGACATTTTGGGCAAGTGCCCAGGGCCCCGCGATCGATTGGGGGCCCCCTCAGATCAAATACAAAGTCCCTAGTTCCTGTTAAATCACCAAACGGAAGTCATAGGGACCCCATTATCCTAATATGCCCAGGGCCTCCAATAGGTCAAAGACGGCACTGCTTGAGATACAAGAAATATCACTAGCACTGTAAGCCTACCCTGACCCAATCCAGTACCCCGTGGAGCCCTGGAACCTTACGCACTGACAGCAAACACATCACCAAAAGGTAGTGTTATTTTACTGTAAAAAATTGAGGTAACTTCGCCAGAGGGGCACTCCAATTCTAGCGGAAATCCGCTTTGCACTACCATGTCTCTTAAAATTAATATTGGCATTTAATCTTCATTGTCATTTTCATAGCAATGTCACATTTGAACCTCAGACACCCTCACCAATCCTCAACTACCTTGTGAAACCCATTCATCACTACCATAAATGAGTTTCAGTATATTATTTTGTCAAACATATGACAATAAACAGACTTGGTAAATAGTTCGAAAAATTGTTCATCATCATCAGCCTATTAATGTCTCCACTGCTGGGGCACGAGCCTTCCCTATGGATGGAATAGGGAGATTGGGCTATGACCCACCACGTGGGCCCAGTGCGGATTGGTGGGTTCTAACGACTGCAGATGCAGCCGGGGCCAATGGCTTAACGTGCCTTCCGAAGCACGGAGGAGCACTAGGTAGTAAATTTTTGGTCACCCATCCAGTGACCGACCACTGCGAAAGTTGCTTAACTTCAACGATCGCAGCCCACCCCGCTAACCACTTGCGCCATCGAGCTCCTCAAAAAATTGTTAGTTTACCGTAAACGATGGACGTTGGGGTTCTAAGATGCTTCAATGGCGACCTCGCAACGGTAGGCACAGTGTCGGTAGACCCCTTACCAGGTGGACTGACGACATCAAGCGAGTTCCCACCCAACCCAACCCACTGGATGCGGAAAGCTCAGGATCGTTGTGTTTGGAGATCCCTAGAGGTGGCCTATGTCCAGCAGTCAGACATCTATTGCTGATTGATTATGATGATGATCAATGTAAACGAAATAGTATTAAGTCCGTCTGACTTCCGTCAGTGACGTTACTTCCAATTGAAAATTGCACCAAGTCGTGACGTCATGCGACATTACAAATCAACATATCTATGCAATGTTTTGATTATGTGAATAAAGAAAAAATACGTGTCCAATACTTTTTTATAGTCTACCGAAGTCTATATATAGTTACTAGTCTAGACGAAGAAATAATATTAGTCTGCATCCCTCCTATTAGCACAGTCAACAACATCTCAAGTTTCACAAAGCTGTGATAAGTTTAAGAAAGCATTTGGATTAAGTAATAAATATAAATAAAATATTTCCAACACTCACACCAATTAGCATAGCCCCAAAGTAAGCACTGTAAGGCTTGTGTTATGGGATACTAGGGTAACGGATAGAATACATATATTGTACATATATAAATATATTTATATAGAATTACATATTAAACATCCTTGACTGGAGTACAAATGCTCGTATTCATCACACAAACATATATGCAGGATTCACCGTCGTCGTCGGCGACACCATGAAACCCGGCGTATAAACCACTCGGCCACAGAGGTTGTCATCACACTAATATATAAATCATTTGTTGTATTATCTACATCGTGAAGTTTTAAAATAATTGATCTAAATGCCGAAATTAATTGAGACAATTTGGCACCTAGTAGAACCATATCAGTGTGTTTTATCGAGGAAAACCCCTAAGGCCATTTCTAATAATAGGTAATAATAGTCGTGTTAGTAATTTAATATATTTTTTTTTGATAAAAAGTAATTTATCTCGTACATACCAGGTGCTTAAGTCTTTATCGGATCAAATATTCGTAAGTACCATTCAAAGCTACCTCATCGACCCCTATCAGAAACAAATCGATTGACCTTCAAACCGATCCAGCCCACTCGCCAACAGACTAAAAACTGCATAGCGTTATTAATTTTCCGACCACTATTCCAGTTCTGCGTACAGACAGTACCTACAAAGGCGTTGTGCTCATCTTCATTTTTCCAAGCAGCAAACTTCAATTCATTAAGCGCAAAGTAAGAAAACTTGCCGTTTTAATTAAAGATATTCGCTCCGAGCCCGCCCCGATGCCTTAACTCACTGAGACGTGGTTGGCTTATTTTTTTTTCGACACACTCATTCCCGCCTCTGTGGCCCTCCCAAACAAACAGCCGAGTACTTTGAAAACAATTTCGGCGGCAAGCGAAAATCATTTTTAGCACCTTGCGCCTCAAGGGTTATTTATGGTTGAACCTTTGCGTGATATGCGCCGTTCTGGTTGTGCGTAAGCCCTTTTCAGTTTATTTCATGAAAGCGGAGACAGTGGAAAAGCTTCGAGTCAGTTTGCCGCGAGCTTCGCGAGATAGTGGACGTGCGGGAGGAGGCTGCCTCACTCTCTCCGTTTCCGCGAAAAAGTTTTTGTTCGCGACGGGCGGGAGTTTGTGTGATATTTTTTTTATTAAAAAAGGAACGTAATATATAATTTTTTGAATATTCTGCTTGTGATTTTTTTTAACAGTGAGGTGTTGTGTGTAAAGCTGTAAGTAATTTTATTGAGATCTGTTATTGAATAGAAGCGAGAATTGTACATACACACATGAACCCTGAATACATTACACTCTTTTTTTTAGGCAGTCGTGTAAAAAACATTTCGTCGTATTAATAATATGAAAAGCTTGTATGTTTAATTGAGTATAAAAGCGAGTTTAAACTCAAAGTTATAATTTTCAGTACATAGGTACCAGTGACGTAATAATTTAAAGTTTAAAAATAAGTATCAATAAAAAAAATGCCTTAATTGATTGATGTTTAAACACTATCATTTTTTTATAAAAATTAATAAAAATTATAGTAATTAAAGAAAAATGTTTCATATTTTAATAACCAACCAATTTCAATACAAAATCTTTGTCGGAAATATTATCACATGGATCATTTAAGAATATGACTTCAGTATATTGAGGTACTTATAAATTCTTACTTTCAGAAATATGATTTCTGAATTTATTTTATTAATAAAAAACATAAATTTATCAATAATTTATTATAAAATCATATGAAAATGTAAATTAATATTTATATTCAATTTAAGTATATTTCACGCTAAAAATAATTACGACACTACTTTTAAAAGCAAACAATTTCTAAATGTTTTAAATATCTACACAGTTAAATTAATACTAGCGTTAGCAGCTACAGTACGGAAACATTTTATAAGTATAATATAAAAGAAAGAAAATAAATAAATGAATACTTGAACCCGTCTCTTAAAGCGGACATGGCGAAATTCCATGTAAAAAAAATAGTGTGTTTTCTATGAAACCGCGATGCAAGTGAAACTTTAAAAATCATTAATAATAACAAAGTGCTTCCTCGGCTGCGATTCGAACCCGGACCGCCCGCGTAGCAGACGAGCTTTCTACGCCTGAATCACCGATGCTTGTTGATATGGTCTCAACTTTTTATGAATAACAATATAAAAAGTAATGTTGCATCACCGCTCAAGATAAACGAAAAAAATCGAGACAATTTTATAAAAGATTCATTTTAATTAAATGTTAAAAGCAAAAAAAAATAATAATAGAACACGTACAATTTTTAATGAGATTCACCATTTCTCTGAAAGGTTTCAAGTGCATTTAGTGCGCGCGGAGAGCGCCGCAAGTTGTCCACTAGAGAAAATTAACACTTCCCAATTAAACTGAAACTTTGCCGTGTTGTACGAGCAATGCAACAACGAGTTCATCCAAACTAATAGTATGTATGAATGCAAAAGTTCTATCTGTTAAGTTTTCACACTTAAACAGCAGAAACAGTTTTCATGAATTTTCACATCGAAGACATTCCAAAAATTCATTTGGTTTCTTTTTGAAGAAATAATGAATCACACATATATTATAAAGGCAAAAGTTTGTAAGTGTGTATGTTTGTTACTTAATCACGTCTAAACGGCAGGAGCGATTTTAATCAAATTTGGTATGGAGTTAGCTGACACCCTGGATTAACACATAGGCTACATTTTACTGCGCGAAAATATCCCTAATAAACCATGGGTAGCACCGTGGGGCACAGCTAGGTTTATAATTCTGGATTGGACTCTGCTTTGTATAATCGTTTTCTCGAGTTACACACTAAAAAGTAATAATATGTAATAACTAAATGTTAATTTGTTATATTAACATTTAGTTATTACATATTATAAGAATTGAATATGATTTGAATTTGTATTGAATATTTATTAAAAAAAAAATTCATTTAAATTTAGATTTGTTTTCATTTTACTAATATTGATTTAAAACCATAAAACCATTGTTACTAACAATATGGACTTGTGTTATCCGAATAATAAATGATTTATTATTTTTATAATTCGCAGATGAAGTTACGGGTACGGGTATACAACTAAGTAGTTTTAAATAAAGAAATCAATCGCTTACAGGTGTAGTAAAAGAAGAAATTGACTATTGAAATTTTTAGTTATCATAGTTTTGTAATAAAATTGTTTTTAAATACTCATACCAAAAGGAAGTAAAGTTTGTTTTGGTCGTAGGTGGTCATCGCGGAGAAAACTCATGAACCGATTTAAAAATAGACTTTAATCGATGATAATTTATTTATTTTGTTTATCATGGAAGACCATCAGCTTATCTTAACAAACTAGGAATGAAAAGTAACGCTAAGGAGCCAATAATAGGTCCTCACATCTAGAGATAAGTTAAAACTAAAAAAAAAGCAATTTGAGCTATCCATTCCAAAAATACTCTTAAACATAGTAATATAAATATGATCTATATAATAACAGAACAACAATAGTATGACGACTTATTTTTTTCTTTCTTGTATCAGGTAGATTACCAAAAAATATTGGACACGTATTTTTTCTTTTTTCACATAATCAAAACATTACAGAGATATATTGATTTGAAAAGTCGCATGACGTCACGTTTTGGTACAATTTGTACTTAAAAGTGACGTCACGAGCCACCACTCCCAAACTTTGACGCGCTTTATCTTTGTTATTTTTTGGTTGATTGACCAAGGAAAAAATACGTGTCCGTTATTTTCTGATCATCTAACTGACGGACTAAATATAATTTTGTTTACTTTACCCCGTCGTCATCCCTATTACAATCTCTTATCTATTAGACAAGTCCGTCCGTCCGTCTGTGGTGCTGTTTCAGCGGCCAAACCGTAAGAGATAGATAAAGAGAATATTTAAGTTATAAGTTAAGAATAGTCTGATAAGACTACAAACCGGATTTGAGTAACGTAGCACTTCCGGTTTTCCAGAAATCACGAATTTCAAACGAAACCACACAAAATCTCCGAAGTTCTCAATTAATTAAATACATTTTTTTTTTAAATCAGGTTTTGGTGAACATTTGGTTCACTGGTTTGCTAGTTATTATCTAAAGTAGGCCATTTCGGTATTCAAATATAGACTATTTTGCAAACGCGACTTAAGAAGTTGCCTTTTATAAGGACGACATAATAAGGGAAAGCAAAGATATAGAGCTATTTTTTGCGGAAGAGTGGATGGGAAATCCTCATGTATACCCTTCAGCTAGCTGCCAGCTTATGTCAGACGTAGTAGCGTCAACCACGGGTGTGTTCTAGTCAGTAGACTAGAACACACCCGTGGGGGGATACCTATGGCAATGAGGGATATAGGCTTTATCCCGATGCGATCATCCCCTGAGTATGATGTTGAGTTATTGAGCTATACAAATCCCATGATTATAACGACCAAGAGTGCAATAAACTCTCAACCTGCAGACTATAAAATTTTATTAAGTGTGACTGAAATTTATATGTCACTAGCACAGAACAGTAACGGTACGGAAAGGGCCTCGTGGGTGGGGCAGACGCGCCAAAGTTCAATGCACATAACTTGACCAGAACTTGGTTCTGATTGCGCCGTTGCTCTCGGGTTTGATCGCTGATTGGTTCGATTGTTTAATGTCGCGTCGTTTGATTGGCTATTATCTATTAGGTGGAAGAGTAGTGAGGTCGAGCCGTCGACATCGGTTCCCGTACTAGTAATCCAATCTGTCCGGTGCAGGAGCATTGTCTAGATTTTACTATAAGGTGGGGCCCTGCTCATTTCATCGATCCTCAGGGCTGGTTGAAATGAGCAGAGGAGTTCCAGATACCTTCTTCTTACTGGTGTAGAAGTGTACTTCTCCCGGTGGCTGGCGGATGCGTAAGGACATTTCTCAGACACAAAAGAGGGCTATTTGCTAACGGTTTTTGACAGATGCAAGTTATTATCAGTAAGCTATTTACTGACCCACTGCTGTTTTATTATAGCACCACTAAGATACTTGTAATGAAAAGCATCGATGGGTATGTAAGTAATTTTCTCTTTAGTTACACACTGTGTGCACCTAGGTGTCAAAAAGTTTGGGATGTTTATTTTACGGCATAATAGGTATATTGACAATAAATGATATTATAATAATTATCGATTATTATACTATTATTATATTCGAAAATAATATGTAATTTTAGTCTCACGGTCACTTATAAGAAAGTTGCATCTAAAGGTGCTGCAGGTTATCGAAACCATTGGGTTATCGGCACCGCAATGTTCATCGCTGTTAGTGGGTGTTCATTAAAGCAATTAGCCACAAAACATAATTAAGATTCAAATAAACACAAACATTATAACTTTGTAAGTACATATTTACATGAAATTAACATTGCGCTTCTTATTAATTTTGTATTGTGTTTCATGTTTCTTGTAAATAAACGATTTGATTTGAACAGAAAGGATTTATTTGTTAGATAACTAATTTATGTATTGTATTGTATTACTACTGTACTTTAATTACAGTACAGTATGTAGTAAGATTAGTTATCTTACTAGTAAAGTCTTTCTTTTTTGTAAAATGATTTCCACAGTATAAAAGCAAAACCGCTTAAACGCCACTTTAGTAACTTTACACAAACGAGGATCTAAGTTTATATTATCACCAAAACAATCATAGCTTATTGTAAATGAGAAGTAGCGCCATGAAATAAAAACATATTCATAAAATTATAATTTCTAAATATCCTCCTATTAAAAAGTTACATATTGCCTTTACTTTACGAATTATATGTCCCTTAAGCGAAAATCACTCGACTCGCCATACATTTTTGGACAAGCAAACACCAAATCATTCGCCAAGTAGTAGGACGTAAGCGCCATTGGACAAAACACCAAAATGTATGACGCTTCAACGTTGTGAACAATAAAAATCTTAAAAAAATGGGTTGCTTAAGCACCAAATAAGTACTCAAATCTCCACGGAACATAAACAGATCGACGCAGAAAAAATCTGATTCAAATGAATTAAACACATAACTCATTTTCGACCAAACGGGCGTATAAGCGATTTTGTCTTTCCACTGTCGATTTATTTTCGTCGGTAAAAATAGTAGGCGGTTGTAATTAAATGCACAAGGTACATTTTATTATTTAATCAGCGTTCCATAGTAGGCATTATAGTTTAGTGTGTTACCTACCTATGTTCTTTGTTGTATTGTTGCGCTTTG